CTCTAGAGCTGGGCAGATTGATGATCAGATGAGGGAGTTCATTCCATCTGAGAATTTCGCGCAATATCATGGATCAGACTCTTGTGATCCTCAGTGTGATCAAGGAGGGCATTATAGAGATTGTGATGAGAGGTCGAGTGCATTATGCACTGAGATAACAGTCATGATAGAGACCCATACATTGATGTTTCGGGAAATTCAGAGTTTGTGAGGCTTTAGATTGTCATGTGGGTTAGGGATCCCATTATTAGCAGCAGATGGTTGGCAGGTGTCACCAACGCTTTTCGTACCAGACGTTGTCTCGAAAGGAGACAAGATCTGACTTACCTCCTATCTCCAGCGGGGTAGAGCACGAGATTGATAGGAAGAAGTTGGTGGTGAGTTGAGTAATGATGCGGTTAAAGCTATGTCATGAGATAACTTTTAGACCAGATTCTAGGCAGAGTGTGCCTAGGCGCTTGAGGCGCAGCAGTTGGCGCAAGAGTTGTTAGATCTCCATCAGACGACTGAGACTGTGGCAGAGATCACTGCCAAGTCTCAGGAAAGATCTTATATGGTACCACAGTATGCAGCAGATGAGGAATTTAAGAATGTAAGTTATCAGAACATACGGTAGAACGATAGCATGGAGATCGTGAGTATCTCGGGGTGCAAGACCCTGAATGTATAAATTCTAGAGCTTGAGTTCGGGATATGGACTTGGAGCACATTGGTAAGAGGGAAACAAATCAGTTGCGTATAATGAGGAGTCTCAGGAGGAGATCGTAGATTTCGTATTAGCTTTCGAGAGACGAGCAGGACCAGATTCGGTGCAGCATTTGCGGGAAACTGCACAAGGGAGCCTTTCGTTCCAGAGGTTTGAGTAAGTGTAACCCTGAGTTGTCCTCAGTTTGTGTCTGAATTGTATTTTTACAGAGAAGTCATATGCCAATTGCATACCGAGAAGCATTAGCGATTAGTGATAGAGCAATCCCCCAGAATGCGGGATTGGGGAGTACAACGTCATCTTGGTTTATTCCAAGACTGTAGAGCAGCACGAGAAGCACCAGAGGGAGGTGCTAGAGACTTTGAGGTGGGAGAGAATTTGCATAAGGTTCTTTAATTGTGAGTTCTGGTTGTGCGGGGTGCAATTCCTTAGGCACCCTGTCAACCAGAATGGTGTACTAGTCGATCCAGGCCAAGATAGATGCCGTGAGGCAGTGGGAGATTCCGAGGTCTCCAATTGAGATTCGGAGCTTCCTGGGTCTAGCATGTTATTACCGGAGATTTATTCGTATTTTTAGAAGTTGTGTAATCTTTTGGATTAACTAGTGTTGAAACCCCAGCACGGATAAGCGTGAGTTCTAGCAGATTGGTCATGGGTAGTGAGAAGGATTGGGAATTCTTGCAGTCTGGTATGCTGTAAGGCATCAGCTGAGTCAAAGTGGGGGAGAATCGCCCAAGGATTCAGAAGGGGGAGCAGTTTTGAGACTAGGATAAGTTTCGCATCTTTATTGGGAAGGAAGATAGCCCAAGCAGTTGTATGGTTTGAGGATAGTGGAGATGGAAGTTCGAAAAAGATTGCCATTAAGGAGATCGTGTTCCTGTGATGTTACTAGCAAGCCTTAGGGAATCAGGGTTGGGATTCCAGTCAGGACATGAGTTCAGCTGAGTGTGGGGCAAGCGCGTGTTTAATCCAGTGTTAGAGTGTTGTAAGTCTGCGGGTGTAGCCGTAGCATTCACTAGCAGTCAGATAGTATTAGAGTGTTGTAAATCTGCGGGTGTAGCCGTAGCGTTCACAAGATTAGCAGATAGTACTAGAGTAATGTGAGTCTGTGGGTGTAGCCGCAGCCTCCACTAGGTTGGTAGATAACGTGAGTGCATTGTTAGGACGCGGGAAGAACAGTAGTACCCACCAGTTCGAGTGTAGCAATGAGGAAATGGAAATCCACGGATTGGATTTTGGAATTTCCTAAACGGATGAGACCTGGTTAAACCAGTGATAAGATTATAGAAGCGCCGCTGCAGAGATGAGAGCAAGGAAGCAGTGGACTGATTAAGGTCATTTATGACATAAGGCCACAATTGGTTATGTAGCAATCGCGTTTACCTGTGGGTTGGTAACCTCAGGATCCGACATGTGGAACTGATCAGTTAGATTAGAAGGCCGTAGAGTCACAGTAACAAGATAACTAATAGTTGCAAGTTTCACAAAAGGATTTCGTTCAGAAGTAGTGTGAGGCGACTAAGTAGGGAGTCCTTGGGGCTCCGCAGCCGAGCGGAAACCTGGTATTTCAGGACTGGCGAACGAATTGAGACCAGGAAGGTCTCGATGGATGTTGGAAAGCAGCCAGGTAGCAGCATGCTGTTTCAGGCAGTTCCATGTTTCAGACAGTTCAGTATTTCTGGCAGTCAGTATTTCAGGCAGTAACGGTTTTTGGGGATTTTATGGACGGTTAGAGTCACAGATAGCTTGGGTTATGCTAAGTCACTTAAGGCAGGAGTATCTGAGTTTTGGCCAACTATAAGTGAATCACAAGGATAAGTGGATCTGTGATTCTGTTTGCTAGTGGGAACCTCGAGTTGTTAGAAGTTAAGTAAGCAGCTGAGAGATAAGTGGACTGGGTGTGACGATGATGATTTCAGTATGGGCAGTCTGCCAGGGATTCAAACCATCTCAAGACATCAGATATCAGACAGCGTAGATGTGAACTATTGCGAGGAATCTGTTCACCAGTGGAATTCAAGGCTTTCAAAGAATTGGTCACGGTTACCCTAAGAAGGCTAGGGTGTGCCCAGGTTTATGGCCATGTTACTTGAATAGTTAGTGCGTAAGGAATGATTTCGAGGTCTAATTTAAGTGGGGGAGAGTTGTAACGCTCCGTTTATTTAAATAAATTAATAAATATATGTCTCGGACTAATTTGTGAAGAATTTTAGAAGTCGGAGATTAAAAGTGTCAGTTCCGGATTTCGGTCCGATGCAGTTAGTTCCGGACTTCGGTCCGATGCAGGGGACAAGGTCCCAGTCAGTTACGGACTTCGGTCCGATGCAGTCAGTTCCGGACTTCGGTCCGATGCAGGGGATAAGGTCCCAGTCAGTTCCGGACTTCGGTCCGATGCAGTTTCTGGGCTTCGGCCCGATGCAGTGGGCAAGGCCCAATATGTGTTTATATGTTATTGTATGGTTTGTGGTAGTTTGGGGGAGCTCACTAAGCTTCGTGCTTACAGTTTCAGTTTTGGTTTTAGGTACTCAGTTTTCAAAAGAGGAGCTCGGGAAGATTGCAGTGCACACACCATTTGTTCAGCCTGGGATGTTTATACTCTGATATAATTGACAGTTGTTATAATATTTTGAGATACATTGCTTATGATTTCTATATGAGGTTTATTGACTACGGTTTTATCATTAAATTAAACGAAATTTTCAGACTATGTTTTTGAGATGTTACACTAGCCAAAAAGGGTTTTTTTTTCGAAGTTTTAGCTGGTATTTTGTGCATTTCTATAAATAAAATTTAGTTTGAAATTTTTTTTATAAATTAGACTAAGATTTTAGGATTTTTCTGAAAATTTTCCAAAAATAAATGGAAAATACCAACAAATTAGTGAAAATATCCTCCGGTAAAAGAACTCATTAGTAACTAAGTCAAATAGATTCAAAAATGGTCCATTGCCAAATCTTTTTTAATGAATGAAGATTTTTTTGACACTTGTCACATTCTCATTCATTTTGCCACATATCATGTTATGGTTATTTTAAATTAATTTTTATTCCATATGTAATTTTGTGGTTTTCCTATTTTATTAAATTTCATATGGTATTTAAATTTAATAATAATTGCATATCAATTTTATTAATGAACTTTCCTTATAATTATAAATTTTAAAAATAAAATCCCACTAATTTGCTTTGATTATTTTATCTAAATGGTTTGTTTAAATTTAAAAAAGGAAAAAAAAAACACTTTAATTTTAATAATTTAATATTTCTCTTATAAATTTAAATTTCTTAAATGTTTACAGATATTTAATTGTTTTAAATACACTCATATAATACATGGGGTCACACCTAATCTTATATAATATGTTAATAAAATCATGTCGTCGGTATTCAAGACAAACAAGGTCGTAGAACCATCAGTGTTGCTAAAGTGTAGCTAGCTAATTTGTCGGTAAAATGCAGTCGACGATAAATTATCGACTAAATTCGGTTGACTGCGCTAATTTTTCCATATATATATATATATATATATATATATATATATATATATATATATATATATATATATATATATATATATATATATATATATATATATATAGGTTGGAGTTCATTTGATACCATTCTAATTTTGTGAGATCGTGAGACCAAATCTAAATATAATTTTAAAATGCAAAATAAATGGAAAAAATCCAAAAATTCTTTTTTTAAATATTATTTTCGGAACTTGAATTAACTAAAAAAAATAAAAAAAAATATATAAAAAAATAAAAAAATATATAAAAAATTCCGTTTTTTTTTTAAAAATGCGTTAAATATTCTAAATAGAATATTACACTGACATATTCTAAAAAATAATTTTAAAATGCAAAATAAATGGAAAAATCTAAAAATTCTTTTTTTAAATATTATTTTCGGAACTTGAATTAACTAAAAAAAATTAAAAAAAAAAATTCTATTTTTTTTTGAAAAATACGTGAAATATTCTAAATAAAGTATTACACTGTACATATTCTAAAAATAATTTTAAAATGCAAAATAAATGGAAAAATTAAAAAATTCTTTTTTTAAATCTTATTTTTGGAACATGAATTAACTAAAAAAAATAAAAAAAATAAAAATAAAAATAAAAAAAATGCATCTCACGGTCTCACAAAATATAGGTGGTCTCAAATGAACCTAATCTTTTATATATATATATATATATATATATATATATATATATATATATATATATATATATATATATATATATATATATATTACCCACGACCTTAACCCGGACGGCCTTGATTCCATCGGCATCCGTCGGAAAAGCTATTAGCAATACCGATTGATTAGGTCGTGTATTTCCTGTTTTTTCAAGTATTGTAAATATGTAAATGTCATACCATATTTTTACGTATTTGCATGCATGGGTTGGAATATTTTGCATACAAGAATTTATATTGTTCTCATTGTTGTCTATTGGACATGATTAAAAAAGTAGATTTCTTATATTGACAAAATACTAATGCCTTGAATATTAAGTTATTAATTAATCATGCGACACATATTATACCTTCGAAAATACTAAATTTGTTAATTAGGAGGCATTTTATCCTTTATTTTTATCATATAAGGTTTGCTATCCTTTTCCTTATACCACGAGCAGGCTTTTAATGTCGGGAAGGAGCAGGAGGGGCACCACCGCCATCAGCCGGAGGAGGGGAGCCGCCGCCATCAGCCGGAGGAGGGGAACCGCCGCCATCAGCAGGAGGCGAATCTTTTGGAGGGGAACCATCTTTTGGAGGCGGTGGTACGGCATCAGGAGGAACTGGTTTTGCATCTTTTGGAGGTTTCTTGGCACAGTCAAAGTAGCAGAAGCAGCCGCCTTTCCCTTCACGCTTGTGACAAGCTCCATGGATGGCCTTCTCCCATTCAATGCACTTTTTGTCACACTTCTTGGAATTACACTTTCCAGACCAAGTCTGGCTCACCTTTTCACATAATTTTCCTTTCACTGTACCGATTTCTGTTGACACCATGCAAAAGTTACACAAGTCTTGTTATTTATATAACTTCATATTGCTCTTGATTGTAAAGAAACAATTGCGAAATGTAAATCGTTTGCATTTAAGGAAACAAAAGAAGAATAACAAGTAGAAAATCAAAAAAGGATGTAAAGCAACTCCATTGATTGAGCACCTGAAATGGCAAGAACGAAGAGGAGGAGAAGGATTGCATAGGCGGCAACTGATCTTTTTGCCATTTTTAAGTTATATATTATGAAACCGAAGAATCCACAACAAGTTAGATGAGGAAAAGGTAGAGAAAGTTATGGGTATTTATAGAAGAAGGAAGGAGTTTCAATAGAATATGAGTCTAAGAAGAATATAGAGCATATGACAAACAGAAAAATTAAATTTTCACACGAGTTCTTATATTTGATGTTGATGGGTAGTTTTTCTGAAAGAAATGAGACACACGTTTTAAATTTTAGCCATTTTTTTATTGCTTCCAATAAAATGGTTAGGGTTTTAAAACTATTGACTTCATAAAACTACAATAGAATGACCGAGTTTCATTTATAATCAAGGGCGTTAATAATTTTTTAAATACTTAAGTAAAAGTAGTTAATACTACAAAAAGTGGATTAATGTTATAAAAACAATCCAAACGAATTAACAACAATATCATTATCATTATATATTTATAAAGTTAGCATTTTTTCTTTTGAAAGAAATTGAAAAGTAATGAGAGTGTCAAATCAATATGATATGCGTTTTTTTGGGGGTTTAGTCCAAACTCTGACTTTTTTGGATTCGTGGTCCTTTTAGCCATGTTTGTGTTTTCTTTTTTCTACACCAAGAACTCCCATTTCAGATGCTGATAACAAGCCGCTAGCCATCATCTCCCCCATCTCTCACACACATTAAATATACGATCTATTCTACAAGATTTTGTTGTGCATATGTGTGATTGTTCATCATTCAGTGTTGAATCTGAACCGCGATTGCTAGGGTTTTCGACGACTTATTGTTAGACACTAAGTTGTCTTCTCCGGTGGCGGTTGACGGACATTGGTGAAGGGAAGAAATTTATAAAGCTTAACCATTGCAGATGAAGGAGAAGAAAATAATGATTTGAGGGGAAGTTTCGCATTCCTTTGATGTAGAGAGAGAGAGAAGGAAGTTTCACATTCCTTTGAGAAAGAGAGAGAGAGAGAGAGAGAGAGAGAGAGAGAGAGAGAGATGGCCCCACTTTTTTAATTATTAAAATAAATAGAAAATAATTAGATTTTAAAAGAATGAAAGAAAAATGAAAAGGAAATACCCTAAGGGCATTACAGTCATTTCAGTTTACTAAGGGATAAAAAACACAATAAAACTACCTCAAAAGGACCACCAATCCAAAAAAGTCGTGGTTTGGACTAAAACCCCCAAAAAATGCATACCATAGGGACCATTTTTGCAATTTTGTCAATTAAGTTAAATAAATATCAAATCTAAAGTATAATCATACATAAACTAAATTTCAAAATTAAAATAATATCTTTACTTCTACTTATAAAGTTATGTTTTTTTTAACTTTTAAAATATAACACTTAATTTATTAGTTTTAATATATTGTTGGATGTAAACCATTATCATTTTAAAGATACAATTTTGGAACAATTTGTATAACATAATTAAATTATTAATTTAAATATATAACATTACAATGTAAACTTAAATAAAAATTTTAGTTTAACTTAAAAACGCAAAAAAAATATTTTGTAAATAGTTAAAATTGATAAATTGTAGTGTCTTTCTATTAGTGATAAATAGCAAACCTAAAGTGTCATCATAAATAAACTAAATTTTAATTTTAAAATGATATATTTACTTCTACACATAAACTTATGTCTTTAACTTTTAACATATTATATTTAATTTATTAGATTTAATATGTTATTATACGTAAACCATATCAGTTTAAAGCTATAATTTTTGAACAGTTTGGACAAAATACTTCAATTGTTAACTTAAATAGTTAAAAGTGATAAATTGTAGTGATAAATATAAAAAACTAAATTGTAATATCAATTTAACTAAAATATTTTCTAAAGAAATTTTTGTAATCGTTAAAAGTTTTTAAACAAGTAGCTTAAAATAACTTACAGTAAAAATAGTTAAAAATAACTCTATATAAATGATTATATTGTTACCTTTAAAATAAAAAAATAATGTTTGATGTTTTAAATAATTATAACGATTGAAATTAAAATATTAAACAAATAAATTTAAAAAAAAAAATAATTAACAATAATAACAATTATAAATAATATTAAACCATATATTATATTTAAGTTTATTCATATGTAACTCGCGGGTAGAAGTTATTCAAAAGATTAAAATTATTAAGTTATTAATAAATGTATATATATTATCATATAATTCAAAATAATCAATATATTATATCAATTCAGTATACAAATTATTATATCAAGTTTAACAACAACGTTATTGTTATATTTTAAAAAAGACATATATTTGTAAATAATTCAACTATATAGTTGTTTCTGTGCAACGCGCGGACATTCGCCTAGTATTATATATAATGATATATAGTTAAATGAACCGTAAGACTCTTTTATTATTACTGAAAAATGAATTGTTAACAAACTGTTTATGATCAATATATCAATATATGGTTTTAAATAGCTATTAATGTTAATTCATTAAATCATTTGGTAACGTTACAAATCTTAGTTAAGACTTGAGATTTTTAACACATATAAAGGTTGAATTCGCGACGAAGCTTTAGCGGCGACGTATTTGTAGGTCGCCGCTAATACATTTAGCGGCGACACGCTTTATCTTTTGCGGCGACAGCCGTCGCCGCTAATGCCTTAAATTCTTTTATATATATATATATATATATATATATATATATATATATATATATATATATATATATATATATATATATATATATATATATATATATATATATATATATATATATATATATATATATATCAAATATCAAGTTTTAATCAATATTTAAAGAGTGTGTTTCACATTTAAATAAAAAAGATGGGTGTTAAGCTAAATTACGAATGAATTTGACGTGATTCAAATGTGTATTTGAAGACTTGAGACTTGAGAGGGGTGGGTTTGGAAATTTAAGAAACTACGATTGAAAAAAAAAAAAAAAAAGATCGGATGTGATAAGGAAGAGGAAGAATATTTTAGGGACCGTTACCATAATTCAACTTTCAAAAGCAAACTGAAGAATTCTATAGGCGCTTAAGTGAAAGAAAAAAAATCAATGCTATAACGTCATGGGATATGGGGGCGTTTCTAGAGGTAAAGATGGTGAAGATTGAAGCTGGTCACGGGTACTCACAACCAATCAAAACCATTTTTCGAAAAAACATTCAGCTTCTCTTTATCTTTTTCTTTCTTTTTCTCTTTCTCTCTTATTGAATAGTAAACAAGACCACCTCTAATGCTAGGAGACATGTAGTGGAAGGGATATATACCATTTAGCTTACGACTGAATAGGTTTAGTTGCAAAGAAAAAGATTAAAGCGAACCTTCCAGCCATCTCGACTAGAGTGATTTTGTTATTGTTTACTTAAAATTAATATTATATACTATACATTAACCAGATAATTTTGCTAAAATTGAGGTCCTCTATTTTAAATAACCAAATACAACTCTTGTTAGCTTTGTTACGAGAACTAAAATTAAAATCATTACATACACCAACATTTTGCAACTTAGATGTGCGGAGGAAAAACAATAACTTTTTAATATTATTTTAATACATTTATTTATTTCGTCTCATTTTATATGCAAAAGAACGTATAGTCGTTGTAGATTTAATGTATTATGTATACTATTAATCAAGGATGGTGAACAGAAAACTTTCTGCTCCACTTAATTTGCTTCACTTGCTACTTTTGCCACCGGAAAGTTGCCTTAAACAAAGTTTAGATTTCTCATTTATGTCACTTTTTTTCCTTCACTTTCTATTTTTGGCACGTGATATTTTTTTAGCGTTCACCACCTTAAAGAAATTGTAGATAGACGTTGGGTTGTGGGTAGATGTTGGTTTCTAATTTCCGTTTGCAATTCGCGTTTTCACTGTATTTCTGTTTCTTCCTATCTTGCGATGAACTCCCTTAATTAAATCTTTTCTCATTCTGAAGCTCCCTTTCTTAGATATCACTCGATAACCCTTCTCTTTTTTCTTCTTGGCACCGGTGCTTCATCTCCACTTAGACCAACGCCAGATAACCTCCTTCTATCTATTGTTCATCTATTTTTCCATAAATTCCTCGCCTACGTAGATTAGTAGCACAACTACAATAAGCATATACTGTTTCCTTTCACGGCTTGTTGTTTTGATTGTTTCCTTTGACGTTTTCTGCTCTACATCGTTGACTTGTAATTGCTTTGATGGGTTCCGATTTTGATTGCTCTTTACAAAGATGGAGGCGATGATGAAATTTGTTTGTGAAAACAATTTGCACCGTCAACCATTTGTGAACTTGAAGGTCGTATTTTGGCAAGGCAACTCGGAAGGCATATCCGATTGGAATATGCAACCGGTGTTTGCAGCCATACCGTCTTTCATACCCTTTTTCTGAGCCTCGTCTCATTAAAAATCACTGTTATGATTTCCGATTTTCAAATTTATGGTGTTTCTTTGTTCGTCTTTGTCTTTACTTTTGGAGCAGGGTGGTTTGATTTCCCCCTGATTTCTAGGGTACGTAGTTCTAAATTATTGGTTCTTACTTTATCTATTGGTCGCTTGTCTTCCATGGAAATCTACTTTTGAAGGTTTTTCTGCCTGGTCCACCACCGATAAGGAATCAGAGACATCGATGGCTGAAGTCCACATGTTTGGCTTGGAGACAAGTTCTTGTGGCTTTTCTTCAGCGACTGAAGGAGGATTTCACTAACAAATATGGAGGTGGAAAAGCTGCTACAGCTGTTGGTAACAGTCTTAACAAAGAATTCGGGTAATATTTCATTTTGCTTTTATTCTCTAATCTCTAATATCTCTCTTGTACAACTAATAATCTAATATATACTCACACATCATTGTCTTCAGTCCCAAGATTTTCTTCTGAATACTTTTTAGTTAGACTATAATTAGGGCCAGAAATCTACAAGTGACAACTAATTTCATATTATCGGATGGCGGCGAGCAAGGAAGAGAAACAAAAACCCCATCTTCAGAAATGAAGTATGTTTATGATGATCACGTTTTATATTCTTTCTAATTATTAATTGATGATTACCAATTTTTTTTATTTGTCTATGAAGGTCAAAACTTTAAGGTGCTTACTATTTTGTATTTCCTTCTAAACCCAAGGTGCAGTTGAAGCATGTGCAACCTGAAATTTATATGCTACAAGATCACAAGTGCGAGTTGCAGGTAAGTTAAATGGACTATTATAAAAAAATTACCTTTTTCCCCTTTTCTTTCTTCCACAATCTTATTTTCATTCAATTTCAAGTTTTTGGTAATTTGCTTTTGATGTTTTG